ACACACACACACACACACACACACACACACACACACACAGATAATGAAAACTGAAACACACTCAAGTTTCCAAACCAAAACACACTTACAAAAAAAGTCAAAGCTCCTGACACAAAAATGCCTCTCTATCACTAACAACTCACCTCTGGCTTGAGTCGTTCCAAGGCATTGCCAATGTTATCTGTGGACATAGAGGAATGTAATGTCATCTCAAGTCTTCGAAGGTCATGTAAAGTCTTACAAAGTCATTGCTTTATCGAGTCCTTATAGGTCATGTTAGGTCTTCGTAGTCAAGTTACATCAAACAAAACCACTGAAAGTCATGACAAGTCTTCATGAGTCATGTATATCATGCAAAGTCACACATACCATTGTAAGTCATGTCAAGTTTTCAGAAGACATCTTAAGTCTCCCGAAGTCATGTCAAGTCTTTACAAGTCACATGAATTCATAAAAAGTCACTGCAAATCACATCAAGTCTTATCAGGTTGAGTAAATCAGTGTCTGACAGAGTTGCTCATCAAGGGTGACAATACAGTGTTTATAAAAATCTCGTAACAAACATTCTAAAAATGCTTATCTTCGGCTAAATATATTTGGCACCTTGAAAAAAGAACAAAACAAAGAAATTTTTGTTAACTTTACAAATTAGAACATTTCACCATTTAGTAACATCAATAAATTACTAGTGTTATAAATATATATTTTGAAATCATTTTTTCCAGAATCAGTGGTATATTCTTTTACTAACACACAGGCACTAAAGCTTTTTTGTTGTAACAGGAAGGTAACAGATAAAGAAGCATAAAAGAGTAACCAACTGGACTCTCATCTAGATCTTTCATCACTGGGCATAAACCCCTGAATGATAAACAATAAGCGCAAGAATATAGAGCTCTTCCCCATTGCACGCAGGTGTGATTTCAGTTCCCATGAGGGGATGTCATTTTATTGATTATCTCTGTCAGTCTCCAGGGATCTTAAATCCCACAAAATTCAGGATGGTTTTCACAAGTACAGTAAGTAGGGACTTCATGGTAGCCTGACCCCTAAATGTCCAAAACTGTGTCAATGGAGGTGTAAAGCTTTCAGAGTCAATTACAGTCAAATACAAATATTTCAAGAAAACTGTACCATCAGGCAGATAGGCTGTTGCATCGAACCACTGGAACAGCATTCCCAGCAGCCTTCCCAGGACCTCCTGAAATGTCAGACAAAGCCCAGTATCAGGACAACAGTTGACCAAGTCCATGAATAGTCTAGTTTTAGTCATTTTTAAGGTACTTACAACACAATAAGATCATATTAGTGCCGAAGATTAGAGGTGTTACAAGAGAGTAACAAACACAAAAAGAAGACGGGGAGATAAGGATGATAGATGTCTGATAGGTAAGAAGGAGAAAACCACACCAGAGCACCCACCAACCACCCGCCGATAGATGTTTGATAGAAAAGAAGGACCAAACCACACCACCAGAGCACCCGCCAACCACCCCCATCCATGGTTATGCAGAGGACTGAGATGGTTGTGAGTGAGAACATTGCTGCAGTGACAACATTAACACAATGTACATAGAGACAATGACATAGAAAGAGTTTGAGGAAAGCCTCAAGAAGACAGGAAATTACTACACATTTCAACTTAGGCTCGACTTGGAACAGAGAACATATCGTTTTAACATGAGTGATAAGAGGAAACAACTTATTAAAACTACTTCTCTGTTAAAAAGAGCATAAGAGTGGAGGGTATGGGCTTGAGGGCAGCTGGATCAGAGTTAACAATAGTGAGAAGACTTTTAGGATTAACAGTGGTCCCTGTATTTTTTCAACAAACTGACAACATTACATTCTTTTAAAAATCAAAGCACAGAACAAAATTTTTAAAAAACAACAGCAACAATGGTATAACAACAATCTAAGTGAGAGACACTATGTACATACAGACCGTGAACTTGAGGGCAGCAGTATTAATGACAACAGTAACAACAACAACAAAAAAGGTACACCAACAAACTTTGAGTAAACAAAAGCACATTGAGATAATAACGCTCACTTAGAGCAGAGAAAGAGTACCCAAGATGGACAGAAACAACAAAGGGAAAGAAAAGAAGTAGGACCAATCAGAGAAGAAAAAAAAAGGACCAATCAGTGGCACCCTCTAACTATCCACCGGTACAGCAACAATCTCAGTATAAGACAGCACACACAGAGACCACTAGACTACTTTGTCCCAGCTTACAATGGGGATATCCTCCCCGGGCTTGCACAGCTCCACCAGCAGCCAAATTCCATACCGACTGAGCAACTTTCTCTCCCCGACATCTTCCACCTCGAAGCCATCGTCATCATCTGGCATGCGACGCAGATCTTCCCCCATCTCCACCATCCTCTTTGTCCCGATGGGCGATGCCTCTTTCAACAAACTGCAAACAAAATGATTGATGTTTCACGATTTATACCCCTGTTGACACAATTAATATCACTTAAAATGCCCGCTGGTTCAACGCTCCCTGACAGAGCTTACCACGGCTGAATAAGTAAAAACATCCCAGCAGAAATAGAGAGATACTTAATAAAAGTGCCTAACCATTACACAACAGATGTTGGTCCTGCAATGATTTAAGACCAACTTACAACTGATAAACAAAATACATACAAATTAACAAAATTGAACAAAAGTATGAGTTAAGGTTTGTGTATCCCTCCCAAGACAATATTCACATGTTTTCAAAACAGCTCCTTCCACCAGTAGACCAACTCCGTCCACTTCCCTATCTCAGTCCCAAACAACATACAGAGCATCTTCCGGCTTGGTACACACGACTTTCCTTCAGCCTGACAATTGTGATCAATTCTAACGGACAATAACAAATACATGTCCTATTAATGGATCACTTAGAAGGTGAGTGCTTCGACCCTGCCTGTCAGGGCCAACACGGATCCAGCGAGATACAGCATTCTAGCAGACTTCCCCCTTTGAGAACAAAACTTGCGTCTTCTGCATGAAATGGTGAAGAACCTAATCCTTTTACCACAAATGCCAGTTAGAGAAGTGAGTCCATTTGTGATCCCAAAATCCACTAGGGAGCAAAGGAAAAGAGGAACGATAAAATGGTGGGGGGGGGGAGGGAAAGGGGGGGGATGGAAGACGGAAGTGGAAAGGGCAAAGGGGGGTTGGAAAGAATGTCATAATTTTGTAAAAATGAAGCATGATAAATACTCCCAGTACTGACCTGACGATGGCATCCATGAGGTATCTCTGCACTTCCGGTGTGCAGCCCCAGATGTCCGAGATACTGGTGTGGAAGATGTGATTGGGTGAGCCGCTGTTGCCGTGACGACGCTCGTGACAGGTGCTGCAGTACCTGACAGGCCTGTTGCTGTTATAGCTGGCGCACTCTATGCTGAAGCACGTGCAGATCGCAATGTTCTGTGACGACTTGCAGTTCTTGGTGAAAGAAGAAAGATGAGGAAAGCAATGACACTTGGTAGAAAAATAATCCGCATCCTGCATGCTTCTTGGGCTGTTCAACATTCCACCACTTTTGGGTAATTAAAAGAATCTATACATCAGCATCAGTGGTGTAGTGGCTAGGCGCTTCATCGTCACAAGCCAAAGACATGAGCGTAATTCCTAGGTAGAAGAATTTTCATCCAGTATCTGTCTTTCTATTAGGATGTTGTACCTCTCTCAGCCCAAGTTATTCCCAACAGGCAAGGCTGAAGCAGCCCGCCTTCTAAATGATCTAAATTATGTCAAGGGGGGCACAAAACACCAAATTTTTTTTTTAAAAACAGCTTTTCCATCAGACCCTGACTCCATAAATTGTAATCATTGTAAATGCATTACATGTATACATTACATGTATAACAGCTGTGTACTATCCACACTCCTATATGGCGCTGAATGCTGGAGGATGACTGATCATGACAGTGCCAAGCTATCTTCCTTTTATACAACCAGCTTACGCCAAATCCTCAGAATCTTCTGGCCCGACAAGATTTCCAAAGCAGATCTGTTACGTAAATGTAGGCAAGAGGACATGACAACCATAATAAAAAGGAGAAGGTGGAGACGGATTGGACATGTTCTGAGAAGAGAGCCAGACTCTATTGTGAAGACTGCCCTCCACTGGACACCCGAAGGACGTCGCAAAAGGGGCAGACCCAAAGTGACCTGGAGACGCACAGTAGAGTCTGAAATGAAGTCCTGGAATCATTCGTGGGGAACGCTGACCAAGATGGCCCAAAACAGACAGAGCTGGAGATCCTTTGTTGCTACCCTAAACGCCAAAAGGCATAATGGGTAGTAAATAAGTAAGTAAGTAAGTAAGATCATATAGGAGGTGAGCTAAACAATTCTTCCTGTCCAGGCCACCATGGATTGTGTAGTAAACAAAAACCCTTCACACAGATAGAAATCAATACTTTGCGCCAAAACTTCCTCTGTCAGTCAGCTGTGATGTTGTATGCAGTATCCCACTAAGACCAGGTTTTCCTTGACAGGCAGGATTGAAACAGTCTGCCTATCTAAGTGATCCATATTGTGTCAATGAGGTTGTACATATTAGGGTGTGAGATGCAAAACCCGATATGCGACATTTTGGAAAAAATTGAGGTTTTTTTTGCTTCTAAATGCACATTGTTACCGGCCACCAGATGCACTGAGTGTTTTCGGCCAAAACCCAACACATATTTCATAAGAGCCACCAAAAAATCTTTTCACGCATGTTTGTGCGTATAGTAGTATTTTTTTAAAACTGCATAAACGTTTAAAATAAAATAGAGAAGAGCAGAGACAAATCCAGGCATGTACCTTATTCTCACAGACCGACGAGACGTGTGGCATAGGCATGAGCAGGTCCATCATGTACTCTCCGTGGTCTTTCTTCAACGCCTCGGTGCAGTCGCTGCAGATGTACAGGGGAGGGGGCGTGTCTCCCGAGTGGATGGCCAGGGCCGGGTTGATGCACATCTGGTCAGGACAGGACACACAGAGAGGACACACAGAGAGGACACACTGACCATAATGGGTTTTTTTGGGTGGTGGGGGGAGGGTTGACCACAGCAAGCAGCTAGGTGTTTCCCTTGATAACTTCATCTCAAACAACAAATAACTCTTTTCGTAAATATTATTTCCAAAGACATATAGCGAATACTAATTTACATGACAATTATGTAAACAAATTTTTATATTTATGTCATTTTTAATTAATCAAACAAACTAACATCATATCATAACTCTTTCTGTTCATAGTCTTTTCCAACTAAGAAATATCGTGCGTAACTTCACATCTTAAAACAATTATCTACATAATCTTTACATTCATACTACCTTTAAACCAAGAAATATACTCATAGGATGAAAGTAAAAGATCAGAGAAAATAAAAAATGCACCGATATAAAAAAAATCCTCTGCAATATTATTCTTGGGCACAAAAACATAACTGATGAATTAACTCTTTATCTGCTCGGAGGCGCACACTGCGTCGCGCTATATATCGCTGAACTGCTCGGAGCCGCACACCACGTGATTGTATTCAAGGATGCGATAAAATGCGAATGCGAAGCTTTTCGATTTGAAGTCAGGATTTTATGTTTCCCCAACTTTCGTGTGAACAAAAAATTATGGGTGTGTTTATGATTGCATAACATAAAAAGATATATAAATTTCCTTACAAAATGCACTTTTTATAAAAGTTCATTCATTTCCTGACATTTTGGTGTATGCTACAACTATATTTCAGCATATTTGATCTAAATATAGCTTTTTTTGTGTAACACCCTTGATCAGAATTTTATCAAGGGGACAAACCCCAACAAAATCTGTTAAAAACCCCAAGCTGATAAAGAGTTAAAGCTCATCTACAGATCAGAAAGCTAAAAAAAAGAAAAATCAGAATTTATGTGAGCAGTATATCTTTCACTCAGCACTACTGTAACAATGTGAAATATAACTAATACACTTGATATGCATTCATGAAAGACAGAAAGAAAGAAAAGGGAAAAAAGGAAGAAAGATAGAAAAAAAGAGGAAAAAAAGAAAGAAGGTAGAAGCTACAAACCTTAACAGCCTGACAGTTCCCTTCATTAATGCAGCCTTTGCGCTGACACAGAATAGCAGGCCAGGCTGTGCAGGATAGGGACAGGAATGTATTTCAGTTACTAATCAAGTACACATGAAACTTAAGCCTTCAATTTTTTTTTTTAAGTTTACATAAGAGAACTGAAGATCACAGACAGTAAGTAAATTTTTATAAATGAACGGAAGAAGTTGTTGAGTAGAAGTTTTTTAGTTTTAGTAGAGGTATTACGGCACTCGCAACAGCATAAAGGTCATATGAGCGCCAGAAGATTAGAGGTGTTACAAGAGAGTAACAAACATAAAAAAGAAGAAGGGGAGATAAAGACGATAGATCTTTGATAGGAAAGAAGAAGCAAACCACACCAGAGCACCCGACAACCACCCACAAGAGTAGAAGTTTGCTGTGAATCTGAACAAGAAGGCCTACCAAAAAAAAATTGCCCGTGGCAACATCTTTATAACAGCATTTGATACTATTTTTAGGTAGAGCTGTACCTGGTTTACAGAAAGTACGAGCACAGATTGTTAAATGAATAACCCCTATTTGAGAAAAAACTTTTCATCAGCGTTGATTCTACAAAATTGGGCAATGATTTTTTATGGTTCTCTTTCGAAAGAGTGATCTTGTTGTGTACAATCTTTCAATCTTTAATGGAACTACAGAAGAGTGGAGGTCTGAGCTACTGCAAATCATTGTGACAACCTATGCATTTCACCAGGAACAGAAAGTTATACTTACAAATAGATCTCACTAAGGTGTTCCCCAACCAATCAAGAATTAACCTGAACACAAAACAATATGTAAACATTCTCACCCGCGCACGTGCACACACACACACACACACAAACACACACACATACATACACACAAATAAACACACACACACACACACACACACAAACACACACACACACATACATACACACACACACAAACACACACACACACACATACAAATGTTTGAACTTAAACAATGCAAGTGTTCAAACACACACACACACACACACACACACACACACACACACACACACACACACACACACACACACACACACAGACAACACTAACAAAAATTATACAAATGTTTCAAAGTTTCTCCCTAATTCAACAAATCAAAAAAAATCTTACAGACAAGAATATAAGACAAGTTGGAGTTGTTTCCAAGAAATGTGTACCTGTAAATTCAATTCCTTTCAAGCAGCGTAAAAAAAAAGCAAAGGCATATCATAAACTGTACCCTGAAATCAATACAACGTGAGCACTGACCTCATCATAGTAAAAATGTACGATCTCTAGTCAGGATTTACAGTACAAAGGAGTGCGGAGGAGGGGAAGGTAGGCATTTTACAGTTAAGGAATACTCCATAGCAGAACAGATCATGGTGAATAACAATACATCAATGATACTATAACCAGCTACAATTCTTTTCTCTTTACACAAGAATTGCAAACTGGGACAAATCTAATAGTCTCTTCTACAATATACAGAAGAATAACTTAACTTAGAATATTTAATGTATGTTTATCAATGTACACGTATTTATAGCAGATAGTCTACCTTTGTATACCATTGTAAATCTAACACAAGTCATTACCTAGCACTATCAGAATTAAATGGCAGGCCTCTATTCATCACTGTATTTATAACATGATTCAACATACCTACTGTATTTAAATATAAACTTCTACTACCACTGTATTCATAACATATACAGCTAAACATCTCTGTATTTATAATAAACACCTCTACAAATCACAGTATTTAAAAAGCATACCTCCATAAAATGCAAGCCACTAAATACCACAGTATTTATAACATATCCCATCTCTACTTAACGTATGACTCAACATAAAGTATTGGTTATGCACACCTCTAAAAACCACTGCATTTATGATAATATGTGCCTCTACATAATGGACATACCAGTGTATATGCAATGTATACTTTTACATACCACTGTATTTGTAATGTATGCCTCTGCGATCACTGAGCGTTGGGTTGAGCTGGGGCCAGTAGTAAAATAGCAGGTGAGCTGCTGGAGCCTTGGCTGTCGGAGGAGCATACGCAATGATGCTCAAAATGTCCTGAGAACAAGCAAAGCAGATTTGAAAACACACTGGTGGTACAGGCAAAAATGTGTCACAATGTGGTGGAATCAGGCGTTCGTCATTTTTTGGGCATAAAGAGTTATTGGTGTCATCTAAAAGGGTATTCATTTGCCTTGCTTTCAATGAAAAAAATACCTATTTATCTTGAACAGAAGTCGAGATGTTTGCGATTGAAGGATGTGGGGTAGCCTGTTTTCAAAAGTAAAATTATTGAGAAAATGGCCTCCACAGTTTGGTAACTTTAATAGCTTAAGAGTCCTTGAAAACTGAAAATTACACATTCGTTGCCTTTTAACAAGGTTTTGCAGTAAAATCTATATAGAAATGTGTTTTCATATGAACATAAAAGGTGTTTAGCTAAAAAAACACAATTTTGATAAAAGTTGCCAAACTGGTGGAAAAATGCAAGTTTCTTGACTTTCATTATTTTGGCGAGTGCCTGATTTCACAATGCTGCCTCACAAATGTACTATCATTTCTGGTGACTGAACATAATAATCATCCACAAACACAAAGATGTAGTTGTTTATGGCTCAGCCTTGCACTTAACCTGGACAGGCACAGAAGGGGTCACTGGCGCCTCTGGTACTTCATCACTGCATGCAGAAGACCTGACTTTGATTTGATTTCCCAGTTGGAATTTTATCGAGTATTTCTGCCTGCCTGTCTGCTGCGATGATGTGCGCCTTCCACCCACCCCCTGTCACTTTCCCACTACAAGACTGGCGTCTGTCATGTAGCTGTTAGGCCATCACTCACAGGAGACCTGAGTTTGATTCCCATTTGGGGGGATTTTTATTGAGTATCTCAGTATGTCTGCTGGGACATTGTATCCCTCTCAGCCCCAATTAGCCTTGACAAGTAGGGTTTAAACCCCTGTCCTAAATGATCTAAATTGTGTAGATGAAGGCATGAAAAACATCTATAAAAAAAAAATTTTTAAACAGAAATAGTTTGATGCGAACAAAGACATGATGCAAGCAATTTTCTGTTTAAAACTCTTCAACGGTCAATCAGGCAGCTGTGCTACAATGTGGGTCTTGACCTTGTACAGCTCACGGACAACAAAATGTGAAAACAAAAATAAATTATCGTTTAAAAAAAGAAATACATAAAAGATGTAGTTAATGTGCAATAGAAAGGTCAAAGAATGACATTACAATTAAATGATAGACGAGAGATACAAATCAATCAGAAATATGAGTGATTAATTTTTAAAAATTTACTTACTTTGATAATGTTTTTCTTCATACTCATGAAACACTCCAAAATCTGGGAGTGGAACGCTGAAAGAGAACAAAAAAGTCAAAATTTTAACTTTCTTTTTCTTTTTTTCGTATGTGTTTTACAGTGCTCTCAACTGCATAAGGTCATATGAGCGCGGGGAATACACCAAACATTTTCAATAGGTACGAAATTTTGAATTTTGTCCAGGTGGCGGCCGAAGCCTACTCTTATCGATTTTGGACCACCAAGGGATCTTTAACGTACGCAACTTGCACACGGGACCTCCGAGATTTTTCACATTAGTCCGAGAAGGCTAGGTGTAGATCTTTCCTACCCGAAGATCAGGGGTATGGCTGAAAGACAGCAGTAAGAAGGAGCCAAGAAGTAGCAGTAGAAAGGCAGCAGAAAGTCAGGAGCCCAGTGGAGGGGGCAAAGGAGGTGATGGGTGAGGGAAGAAAGCGGAGACGAAAGCAGACGACAGAATATTGCAAGAGAGAAGGAAAGAAGGTGAAAGGAGACAATTTTAGAGAAGAACATTTTTCTGTTGCTACCCGGATTTGAACTCGAGACCTTTGAATCAGAAGCGAACACCTTAACCTCTAGACCATGAGAGCCTCCAAATTTTAACCTTTTGAGCCCTCACTCCCTTAAAACTGCAAGACCATTTCAACTGAGTTCCCCACTTACAATGGCAGATTTACACTACTGCCTCTGAAGTGTGCCTTAAGAGGGCGGAAAAGAAAAGGTAAGCATACACTGAGGCTGGAGCTCAGGTCAACAGGACTAAGGCTAAGGTCATGATAGTGATTGACAATAGAAAACATCACAAATCATATTTAAACAATGGTCGAACCTTTTCTAAAACAATCACTTGTACAAAGGACCACTTTCCACTTCACCTCTTGCGTTTTGTAATTATTATGGGTGCCATTTTGGACAATTTTAACTGCACTTGAATTAAATTTCTAAACTCTGTCATTAAATGGCACTGCTCTACAGTCTTTTATTGATTATAATTATGTCCCAAACATGCACCAGTGTATGTGGTGCAGTAGTCAGGTGCTTTGTCATCTCATGCTGAAGACATGAGTTCAATTTAAAATTAAGTATCTCCGTCTTTCTGTTGAGACCTTGTATCCCTCTCAGCCGGGGTAGATTCTGACAAGCGGGGATGAAGCAACCTGTCGATGTGGGTGCAAAACACCTGCTATTACTTTTTACTTAACACAAGATGCGGAGCACCAGAAGGGATAAAACCGAAGGAATAAAAAAATATTGCGTTATTCACAAACTCTGACCAATGTCTCTGGTGTAACAGTTACACATGCAGAAGCCAAGGGTTCCATTTCTGTGGAATAATATACATCACATAACTTTTCTGTTATAACTGTTAGGTAACGTATCGGGATTTAGACACTACCTTTCTTCTACTCAGTAGTCACTTTTCGGTTACAATGTACTAGAAGACTAAAATAAAACCAAAGAGCCTTTTCAGACGTGCATTTCTTCACTCTCTCTATATCTGTTTGTACCCACAAACCGAACAATATTACAATTCTTATGTGGGGAAATTGTTTTTTTCAAGTACATCCAACTGTCTGCTGGGATGCTGTATCCCACTTAGCCTGGGCGAGCCCAGATAGACATGGTTGCAGCTGCCTGCCTTCTGGGTGACCAAATTGTGTCAATACGGGACCAACTCATTAGCAATCACAAACTCAGTAAACCCGTTGCAAGTTGCAACAAAGCATACATCATTACAAAATTCCTCAGAAAACTTCAAGACCTGATGATAAAACTCACCTCCATTCTCTGTGTGTTGAAACACCATAGTGATGATGGCTGCGGCAGATTCACTGGCATATGTCGGCTCCTCACTCACATCCGCACCTGAGGCAGAATTTGCATGCAAGTCTAATCAGAGATAAGGTAGAGAGCACAGTGCTAGCTTGAAGTTTGAAAGTTAAAAACAATTTTTATCAATCTTTCAAAGCATAAAATACTGTAATATTATTACAAAAGAATCTATTCGTTTCCGTTTCCTACATTTCTCTCTCTCTCTCTCTCCCTCTCCCTCTCTACCTTTCATTAGCAAATATATTTAAAATTGGCACTTGCAGGATCTCATCTGATGTATCCCTTGAAGTGAAGACCTCCCCCTACCCACTGTGAACCGCAAGTAAACATTTAAAATTCAAAACTACAGATAACATGATATGATGATATTCTACGAGAATTAGTGAAGATATCAATCAGAACCAGCCACAGCCTTACCCCCTTCAATCCTCCTCCTTTCCCCCCCCCCCCCCCCCCCCCAAAGTCCCCCATTGCCACAATGAAGCAGCCTTACTGAGAGTCATGGGTAGGAGACTAGTGCACAGCAGGTCGATCGTGTCCTTGTGGAGGGTCGGTGGGAAGATGGCCAGAGTTGACGCCACGGTGTACGGCAGAGCGTCTAGTAGGTCGTGCTCCAGGAAGGGAACCAGCCAGCCAAGCACATTTAACACAGCTTCTCCCAGAGCTGAAATAACAGAAAATACTTAAATTAATACTAAAAGTAATGACGATATCGATTATAATAGCAACAATATAAAGTACTAAATACAACTACTACTAATAATGATTATGATAATCATAATCCACATGCAACTTACTTTACACAAACAACCATTAACATCATATTTCTATTAAACTATCAATCTCCCCATCTCTCTTATCACTCACACACACTCTCACACACACACAAACAGACACACACACACACACAACACACACATACACACACACGCGCGCGCACACACACACATATAGAACATGAAGAAATTTAGTCACTGATGAAGGACAAACAAAGGAACAAAAAGACAAATATAAAGTAAGTACTATAGACTTACCAAGCTGCCCAATCTGGACCACCGGGACCAGGTCCAAGATACTGAGAACAGCCTGGTACAAGCCCGAGTAGTTCAGGGTGGGGAAAATCGACAGGCGAACGCTGTCTTTTTGTCGCAGACCATAGTTCTCAATGGGGATGTTTGGCACATCTTTGAGAACGCTGTAAAGTAAAAAAGAATTGTTTTTGAAACAGACATTTCAACTTTTGACACTTCCTTTAGGTCACTACTTTTTAATCTTGGTCCTTCTCTAGTAGTGCAGGCTTCCATATATGATGTATTATCATGGTACTATTAATTTCTTCACAAAAGACATAAAATATAGCTCATTTTATTTGAAATGAATTTGACAACAATTAGAAATGTAAAGATACTCGGCGAAGGGATGGGGTGGATTTTCTGAATATATATGTGAGGCAGCATGGTGGAATCAGGCTCTTGTCAAAATAATCAAAGTGAAGAAACTTGCATTTTTCCGCAGGTTTGTGAATTTTATCAAATTTTTGTTTTTTAGCTCAACACCTTTCATGCCCATTAAAGAACTCATTTCTGTGTGGATTTTTCAGAAAAACGTTGTTAAGGCACAAAAAATGTAAATTTTCAGTTACCACGGACTTTTAAACTAAGGAAATAACTATTGGCTGCCATTTTCCCACTTATTTTACCTCTGAAAACAAGTGACCCCCACCTCCTTCTTTCACAAATATCTCGACTTGTATTAAAGATAAATCGATATTTTTTTCATCCAAATAAAGGCAGGTGAACAAGCTTTAAGATGATACCAATAACTCTACAAGCCCAAAAATTGACGAGAGCCTGATTCCACCACGCTGCCTCACATATGAAAAAGGAATGGGGAAACTAGATATAATTTCTGTAGTATTAATTTGACACTTTTTCTATCCCCAGTGGATATCATTTGGAGTAAACACTAAGTAAACAAAACATTGTGGAAGTGCTGGTCCTCAACAAGACATGTTACAGTACTATCTTGACCAATATGTTACACAGCAGAATTATCTTGGAATAATAGTGAAGTAATGGGAGTTTGCATGATTGATTGTCATTGATTTATTTAACCCCCACCCCTTTCCCCCACGCCCTCTCCCCATCAAACCAATTCATGACAAATTCTATTCTGAGGTTATAGAAATAATGAACAATCGTTTTCTGAAGTTCTATGTTGATCACCTGAGAAGAGTCTGTGAAAAATACTTGAGAGTATTGGCAATGTCAACACCAGTTGGCAACGGAGCGATGTTTGTGACAATCTTGTAATGATACTCCTTCAAGTTGCGTATCTTTGATGTGACTGAAAACAGAAAAACAAAGTGACAAATTGTTTAATCAAAATTAATCTCAAAGGAAATGTACATTTTTTAACCATCTTTTATTTAAAAAGTCAGTATATCATAATAAAATCCCAAAGTGACACAAGAGTAAATATTTTTATATTCTTTAACTTTTCAATTCAACATTGAACTCATGTTTTTAATCAACATTTACAACTGGTGGTCTTTTCAGGGTTAGTTCACTAGAAAATTTTCACCTGTATCACCCCTCATGATATGACCAATAACTTCAGTCCGTAAGAAAACCTAAACAAACCCACACTCGGACAACAATCTCCAAACTTCGACAACCATTAGAAATTAACTCATTAATCCTTTGGTGACACGTCAGTTCATGCTTCACCAAGCACAGTTTTGGATCCACATGGACACAGAGTAGAGCTAGATCCAGTGGTCAGTTTCTTATAATTATACATGGTTTTCAAATACTGCTGACTATATATTATATATATCTAAAAGCACAAATTTTCTTTGTGTACGAAATATTACCGAAGGTGAATCTGCAATTAATTTTACAAAATACATATCTAACAGAAACTGTATGCACAAAACGCACAAAACGACCTCTAAGACGAACGGTGTTCATCTTCATGGTCCTCGTACTTCGCAAGGCATGATGAACACTGTACGTCAAAGCAGCTTCTTGGCACGTTCGTCATGTATGAAAAAATGATGCACTCCCTACGTTATTTAGGTCACGAAAGGGTTAAAGGAACAATCATTTACAATGAGTTATATTACGGGCTAATCATGAAACCGAAAAGAGAAAAAAAGACACAACACTCAGCTCACATGTCGCAGCTCTCGTTGCCATTGTGGAAGATGTTTCAGCTGAGGTGCAGAACAGTTAGCCTTTCATCCAATATTCACAAGTCATCAAATTCTTCTTCCGAGAAAAACTGGGAAGAGCTCACACCACAGAGGAACATCTCACAGGTCATCAAATCGTCATACAATTTTCTCTTCATAACATCTGAAACAGCAAAACATACAAGATGGTTTCAAACAGAAGGAAACAAGTGAACTGGTACTTATACAACATAAGATCCTCTGAGCAGTTACAGTGAACCTACTTTAGCCTACAACCAGACTGACAAATAAAATGTAGGCTAGAGCTGTTTCATCACCCTTTGGTGCTTTTGAATTCAAGCTGACAGTTCGGACACATAAATAATATAAGAACAACATCTAACATAATATATAACAGATGCCCCCTTCGAAGGTATGATTTAATAATCTCTGAAGGACATTTTAATTACTCTATTCAAATTAGTCACAAAGCCATCAACGCTGTTTGTGTGACCTATGTGTGAGAGCGAGAGAGTAACCAATTAAATTAGCCTGTATCTTTACATTGTATAATGTATTGAGTGTGTACATCTCTGTGAGTGTGTGTGTGTATATATATGTGTTTGTGTGTATAGGCCTACATTGAGAGTGAGAGAGAGAGAGAGAGAGAGAGAGAGAGAGAGAGAGAGAGAGAGAGGGGGGGAGAGACAGAGAGAGAGAGAGAGAGAGAGACAGAGAGAGAGAGGGAGAGAGTATCATATGAGTGAGTGTTTGAGTGTGAGTGCAAAGGTGCTGGGGCGGGGCGTAGTGAAGGGCTATAGGGCTTGAGCCCCTCCCACTCCCACCCCCAACTCTTTCCCTCCGTAAATGAATAATTCTTAGATAATAAATGAGATAATCAGTTGAAACTGTAAGAACTGTTTCAGAATCTTCCGTCTCCACCTTAAGTTGCATGCGGTGAGCACACACGCTTGCTCGTTTATCCAATCACTGTAGTCACCGCTTACAACGATAGTAACCTAACAGCCAATCAAATGTGTTTTAGGGCTCAGCAAAGAATGAGCCCATTCCCACGGTCCTTTCTTAAAACTCTTTGAAAAAAGGTTGTTGTTGTTGATTTTTGTTCTTTGAAAAAAGGTAAAAGAAACAAATTTATGAGAGCCTGCGGAAACTGTTGTTAGAGAGGGCTCGTTCTCTGCCAGCCCAGACAATGATGCAATGAGGGGAAGTTCATGACACAACACTTTCACCAGAGACCCAGTAACCAAAACACGCTCATGGGCCCACGTTTTAGGACTGCCTTTGCTTTCTGCGACCCCATGGCTAATCCAGTTGCTGTTGTATGTGTGTGCACTTGCGTGTTTTAATTAATTAATTTTGTTGGTATTTTACGGCGCTCACAACTGTATAGGTCATAAGAGCGCGTTTGCGTGTGAGTGTGAGAATGAAATTAAATCATATCTCGAATGTCCTCTGAACCAAGGAAATCTTACCTTTGAACTCTAGATCTACCTACCCTGATTTCTCAGCCCCACCCACATTAGAACCACCCACTGCCCCTGCAAGAGTATGTGTGTGTATGTGTGTGTGGGTGTGTGTGTGTGTGTGTGTGTGTGTGTGTGTGTGTGTGTGTGTGTGTGTGTGTGTGTGTGTGTGTGTGTGTGTGCACTCATGTATGAACGTGTATCTATGTCAACAATAACTTAATGTAGCCTACTAAGTGTTAGCAGGGGCCAGGGGCCGGAGGAGGGGAGTGTATCTCTTTTCCAATGGCTGGCCAAAGTTGAAAGCCAGAGTGTTTACTGAAATCTCGATCTGTAGACTAGATTCCAGGTCTAATCGATGTTTTATTGTTCGCAACAAAAGTAACTTGGCGCCTGAGCTCCAATCAGAAAGTGGGCTTCTGCCCAGAGCCCAGAGCACTTAGTCTAGGAAAAGCACTCACACAAAACAGTTGAACGAGTGTCAATGTCTGTAGCATTCTCGCAACAAACGCATACAGTAAAAAGAAACACAATTATCAAATTAAAAGCCTGCTGAAAGGGTATTCTAGCACACACACAAAAATCTTATAACACAAAAACCACAGTAATATGTCTGCACACTGGGTTCTCAACAAAGCTACTCACTCTTCGACAGTCTTCGCTAACTGCTCACTGCTCACCACCGCCATCACATCTAAAAATAGGGCAGGGCGCGGCTCAACCCACTTTTGCCAAGGGGGACAGGATCATGTTAAACGAATATAAAATATCCATCTAAAATTCTTGGAAAAGGAACATATGGGTGCAAATTGAAACAAAAGTATATGTCATCATACCCTTCCACCCAGTGAGCGGTTTTGACGCTTTAGGGTATCAACAGCGCGCGGTGGGCCTAACGCGAATATTGATATAGGAATAGCAGAGAGTAACTTAGTACCCCCTTTAGAGTACAGAATGAGCATAGTCCTTGGTCGACTTTTTTTCATTAATTATTACTATGTATGTGCTCTCTCTCTCTCTCTCTCTCTCTCTCTCTCTCTCTCTCTCTCTCTCTCTGTATGTGTGTGTGTGTGTGTATGTGTGTGTGTGTGTGTGTGTGTGTGTGTGTGTGTGTGTGTGTGTGTGTGTGCGTGTGTTTTCCTTTTTCCAGGAACATATAGGTCGTATAAACCAGATAGGCCTTGCTAATGTCATTATTAAAATCTATTCTTTTATTTTCATTGTTTTATCCCATATTTGATTGCGCTAGCCTTTTAATTCTTTAGTATACACCTAGGCCTTCTCGAGAAAGCCTAGGTACTAGGTACTAGATATACAGTATACACCTGACATGATTTAGCGTTTTGTTCTGTTTCTTATCACTTTTGTATTTTTAGTTATAGCCTAGAAAACTGACCGGAAGCGTGGAGACTGCGTGAATTTTGTGGTGGCTTGTCTGGCCAGATTGGTCAGTGATATTTAAATATAGCTGAATTTTTGTTATTGTTGATCTTGTTTACTGCGGGTTTTTTTGTTTTTTTTTCTCTTTTTTTGAGTGATAGGGGAGAAAAAAATCGTGGGAGGGGAGGATTAAGAGAGTCTATTAAATTTCTTTTTTAAAATTGTGTTTGTTTGGGGTTTTTTTGTTAATGTATTTCTCATGGAAGGCAGCATTATTATTACTATGGTTTGTTGCTTTATTGCTTTTGTGCCTCTAGCTAAAGAAATTAATTGCTGCATTTCAGTACACCATTCCTTCAAAATAAATTATGATGATGCTATGATAAAAGTCAAATAAGTTTTGCAATCCTAGTAGTCTATTTGCTCATACACTTTCCCCATAAAGGAAATGCGGGAGAAAACAGGGGGGGGGGGCATATCTGTTTTCCTACCAACGTATCCAAAAAGATAATAATATGCAAAATTCCCTTTTTCTTCTGTGATTGAATAGCATTCAGCTAGAAATGTGTCATAATGCCGTAGCACATTACAAGCTGTTTTGTTGTACAAGCATGTACAATTTTAATGTATTTATAGTCCTATGCTTTGTATTAATATAAGTTAATACAAAAGACCGATTCTTCAAAATTTCGGGTTTAAGCAGTTACAACTATTTTTCAAACAGCTTATTTTCATTTCGCAGACTTCTGTTAGAATCTGTGTGTGTGTGTGTGTGTGTGTGTGTGTGTGTGTGTGTGTGTGTGTGTGTGTGCTGTGTGTGTGTGTGTGTGTGTGTGTGTGTGTGTGTGTGTGTGTGTGTGTGTGTGTGTGTGTGTGTGTGTGTGTGTGTGTGTGTGTGAGAGAGTGTGTGTGGGTGGGTGGGTGTGCACGCGTGCGTTTGCTTTCTTTTCTTGATTTTTTTAAAAATAGAGAAGATAGAAGATGGTTCACAAGCACAAGATTTGCAGAGGACTATCGAGTGTAGGTCAATATGTTAGGCCTTGTACCGGGCGTGCCGCGCTAGTCATGGAGAACACAGAAATAAAGAAACAAGTTGAAATTGAAATTTCAAAAATAACATGAATATAAATTACTGCTGGAAAATTCTATCTTATGTGATTTTTAGTCTCATACGCCACTTGGTGCTGTTTTCGCGCACTGTTATTTGAGGTCGCGTGTTTCAACTCAAATCCCTTTTGTAAAATTTGTTAAAATCTGGGGTTGTCTTGATAGTGCGAGTAAGGACTGGAGGGAGCCGTAACTTGTGTCGAAAGCTCTGCTATTCCATCATAAGACTCCAGTGGCGTTATCCTGTAACTGCAAATTTATTTTACGCCTGCACTTCACAAACTTAAAATGACGTCCTTCCCGAAAAATACAGGTGTCAAGATGTTCATGGTTTCTGTGACCGTCCTGCCGCAGAAGGAAGGCATTGATCTGCCGAGATTTATCCAGAAACTGGCCAATTTGTTATCTGATTATTCCACGGCGACGAGGGTGATTTACAAATTGAAAGTAAGAATTTGTTTGTTGTGCATTCCAGTGTTTATCACAAAGATCTAGAATCTAGATCTAATATAGATCTAGTCTAGATCTAGATTTAGAATCTAGATCTAGATCTAGTAAAGAAATCTAAAAGTTTTAGTGATGTTTACAATTTGGCCACCGCTATATTCTCACAAGAATAGCGCAGGCGCAGGCGAGTCTTTTGACTTTTGGGCTATTCTCACCCGGTGGGCGTTCACCGTAGTATAGCCTAGGCCAACCAGTGAAGCATCCACCCTGAACCACAGAATTCTACACTGTGATAACAGAATTATAGAATTCTGTGCTGTGAACAAACGTTCTAGATCTATTACTACTGTTAGTGTTAGCCTAAAACTAAAAGCGTGCAATTTTGTTGTGGGCAGTGGAGAGAGAGAGAGGAGTAGCGCGAGAACTTCCGGGCAAAACAAAATGGCGACCCGCGTAGTTCGGCTCGATTCTGAAAGTTAAATAGCCGTAGCATCTTTGTAGACAACCAAATTAATTTAGTTTTCTTGTTTAAAATAATTTTTTCACTTTGTTTTGGTCAATTTGATCGTCCACACCGATAGACAGTATTCAGAAAGAGACAGAGAGAGAGAGGGGAGGAGTAGATCTTGCGAGAACTTCCGGGCAAAACAAAATGGCGACCCGCGTAGTTTGGCTCGATTCGAAAAGTGAAATAGCCATAGCATCTTTTTGAAGATGATCAAATTAGCTTACTTTTGTGCTGTAACGTAATTTTTTCTTGGCTTTTATCAATTTGATCATCCACACCGATAGACGGTATTCCAAAATTAGGAAAAACAGGTCTTGTTTCACACCAGGTGAGAATAGCCTACGCTGGCAAGTCTCACGCGGGGTGAGAGGTCGATCGTATTTCTATTCTCACCGCGGGTGAGAATAGCCACTTCCTTACAATTTTCTTTGATCAAATGGATCCGTTGTCGCCGTTGTCAGATCAAAATTGAATTAATTTTTATTAAGAACATGGATGTTTGACATGGGGATCAGTCACAATCTGAATCAGGCAATATTGAAGAATACCTTACCGGACCAGCGGACTGACATTGCCTGTCTCAACCTTAGGAATTCATGATTTTCCCCAGTTTTTAATATCTTTCAATGGTGAATCTCGGACCGGTAGATCTATTCATTACAATTTTGTCAGGGGGGAGACCCCCTGAACCTCCACCCCACATTCTCGCACAATAATGTATACGAGTGGTCCGATATTCTTCAATCTTCCCCTGAATAAATTCAAATTCAATGTGGCATCTGCACTCGGCCATCTCCCGATGTGTCAGTTTTGTGCTTGGTAAGATTGTACTTTACCGGACCACCGGTCGGAACTGCTTTCGCTATGGCGCCCCTGGTGTCTAGTGGCCCGCTATTCTTCATTTCGGAGCTCCCCTACTCACTCTCTTGCTCAGTTTTCTACGTCCTCACTCTTCGACTGCCAACAATCGACTGACGTCTCTTACCGGGTTTTTCAGTCATCACAACCATGCCACCGTGCCCTTTGACCCACGAACCTGACATCTTGAGGCTAATTGGTCAATCTATCTAGTCACGTGGTCCACTATTCTTATTTGCTCGCGACTCTGCTGGCTTGGCCTACTCCTGCTCTGGCAAAGTACAATAGAGGGCTAGAGATGCACACGAGAGCTCATTTGCATAATTGCAACCCCCTCAGCCCTGCTCGCGACTTGGCGAGTATCTACCCCGATTGTCCGCTCATGTTATTGTTTATGATTATGTATGTCATGTGTGTGTGTGTCTTTAAACTTTAAATTATTGTTGCCAGGGGGGCTAGCCCCCCTGAAACCCCCCCTCCCCCCACTGTTGTTACATTGATATGTAAACACGACTGTCCGCTCATGTTATTGTTTCGCATTTGTGTGTTTTCTGTAATATTTCCAGGGGGACAGTCGCCGCTGGCTTGCGCTGTGCGTGCGCGAAGTCGCCCGCGGAACTAGATCTACCTTTTGTCCGCACGTAGAGTACTATGAGTGCATAGTTAGGCTAGGCATGCGTAGTAATCACGGGCCGAGACGGGTGTTCTGGTAAAGTACAATCCAGCCTTGTGCTGGCCTATCACCTCGTTCAGACCCAGGACTGGGAAATTTGAGGCACATAATATCCTCCCCATCCCTGACGGTTATGTAGCCTAACATGGCGTTAAACGTAGAAAAGACGCATCTTTTTGATTGACTGCTAATTTTAGTACTGTGATGTCATCACTTCCTGGGATACCCACATGGAACGGCGTGTTTTTGGTAACATTTCGGGTTTCCTAGATCTAGATCTAGATTCTAGATAGTAGGCCTACTTGGACATGATGGAAGATCGCTTAGATCTAGATCTAAATCGTTGATGCTCAGAACAGTAACATTAAGAGCGCTAATGCTTGAAATTGAAACACGGTAAACACAAAGACAATTTAATAAACCGCACGAAAATTGCCGTAAAGACGCTGGAGGATTAGATCTAAATTATAATTTAGATCTATGGGACTGTTGGTCAGTGGGGAGGAGGACAAGAACTGTCCGGGACCGGGATCGAACCACTCCAAAAATCAGTGCACGACTTCAAAGGCAGACACGCTGTCTATTCAGCCTTCAGAACTTCCGAGAGAGAGGTGTACATTAAGCATACATAGACACTTCCATCTGTGGTGCCATGCGGTTGGCTATACTTAGATGTAGTCACGTGATCGGAGGGGTATCTCTAACAAGATGGGCGCCTGACCTAAAAATAGTTTGCGTCTTTCTATGTTTAATTGCATGTTGTAGCCTAGGCCTACACTTGGACTAGGCCCTATAATATAGTCTATATGGAAGTGATTATTCACACCGGGTGTGCGCTTAAAATTTAATTTTATTCACACCGGGTGTGCGCATAAGAAATAATTTTATTCGCACAGGGTCGAGCCTACATTGATTTTGGACATCGTTTGTCACCACTCCCGGGTATCCCACCCTTTGGCAAAGGCTTTAAATGTTAAAACAACTGGGCACTAGATCTAGTATAATTACTTGTTTCAGATTTAAGGTTAAAGTAAGCATGCACTCTCTCTCTCTCTCTCTCTCTCTCTCTCTCTCTCTCTCTCTCTCTCTCTCTTTCTCTCTCTCTCTTTCTCTCTCTCTCTCTCTCTCTCTCTCATTACTTGTATTGTTAGTTTTCTGTTCAAGATTACCCCCGGGCAGTGCCACTGACTGTACATAGTGTCTTTAGGCCATTCCCAAAGGCAAAGGGGGGACATTTCTCGTTCAAGCATAGTAGTAGTAGAATTGTAAATGGGCTGACTCATGTCATGCTCATTAACTGTGCCTGATCTACAACAGGGAACTGCTGCTTTTTCTTTCCTGGTCCTTACTATTGTCATTTTCCTCTTTTGTATGTTTGTCACTCTCTCTTGTGACCTGCTATTTTGGGGTGCCTTGATCATTGATAGTCGAAGCAGACCTTGTGCTGTTGAAGCTAGAGAGGTGACAGTTTAAGTCTGATCCCCTGTAAAGACTTCTCTGTTGACACCCACCCCTTGGCGCTCATATGACCTTTTATGCCTTTGCGAGCGCCGAAAAACCCTCTACTATAATGTTCAAGATTCGCAGATTTTCAGTGTCACTGCATCTTGCCCTCCCACAGTTCTTACACCTCTCACACTGAATACGTCTACTTGAGCCAATCAAGTTAATACTGTATTTTGAGTTTGAGCAATAATTTTTGTTTTTCACGACTATTATTATTATTATAAATCTTGACACTCACGCTGGTTCTTGACAGTCAATATTCTGATTCTAGGCCTTTTCTCAAGCTCAAAACAAGATTCATTTTATTTATATACAGTCGAACCTGCCATGACGGCCACCTGTACAAACGGCCACTTTCTATTCCCCCCCCCTTGTGTTTTTTCTATATATTGTGTAAAGCGGGCACCTGTCCAACGCGGCCGCGGCCACCTTATTTTGGCACTCAACCCCTATAACACCAGACAACAACACCTACCAACTGGAAATGTTTGGTGTGTCCCGCGCGCTCATATGGCCTTATATGCAGTTGCGAGTGCTGTAAAACACTTGACTTTAAAAAAAACAACGAACTCAAATTTGATTGAAATTTGAAAAAAATTATTTTTCTTACTTGGTGTTTTCATATTGACAAAATATATATCATAGTGCAGTTCCATAGCTCACTTTGACTCGTTACCCCAAACACCCTCCTGGTTGATTTAGTTGAAATTAGTCTAATGATGACAGAGTTATAAATTTATTACCCTTTAAATGGGCCCCCTCTTTTCTTTTTTTGGCAATCGATATCTCTACCTGTACTCCTGGTTTACAAAATCTTGTTCTCCAAGATGGAATAATGGTTAATATTTTGTAGCAATATCACAAACCTTGCACTTCGAGTGTATGATAACACTATGGACGTGCCCCTGCCCTGGGTAACCACGGCAACATGCTGATTTATTAAAACGCTGTTCTCTGCGTCAGCCCCATGTGTCACACATCAAAACATCAAAGAGAAAATGGGGCATTCAATTCATTCATTTTTAACTGATTCCATCCATGATTTTTTCAGGCTCTGGACAGAATTATTTTTCTTTTGTTCAATTTTAGACCTGGGGTGCATCTATTTAATGCATTACTAAACTGTGAAGCTCTTCTAAGTTACTCTAATTGGTATTGTCATATACCAAAGTGATGGGAATCAATAGAGGAATCTGTTTATATCAATAACAATGACTTATAATCTGTTTGTATTGTATTTTCCGTCAGACAAAAACGAATGAGGAAAAAAAATTGCGCACTACCTCTTCGAAAATTTCGACTTACCGCATTTTCTCAGCTCTACAAGTCCTTATAATCCATAGGAATCAACACGATATTGTAGAGATATCACCCTAGCACACATTTATGCAAAAATTTCACAAATTTAGTTGAATATCTTTCTTTGAAGGGCTTTTTTTTTATACCAGGCTCCGCGTTATTTACCCTTAGATCTAGCCTACATAGTGACAACAAAATAACGGTTTTTGCAAGAACTTCGTGGAGTTTCGATCGATATTGGCCCTCAGAGATTGAGGTCAGGTTTGTTTACAAGTTCTACTTCCTTTCAACAACTTAAAAAATAGATACTATGTTAAAAAGTGCACATTTGTTTCGAATTTCGCTGAGCCGCTCACAGCGGTCAAATGGATGCAGCGGAAATGCCGCTCTCAGCGGCCGAATGGACGGAATCAATTAAGGCAAAAAAATGTTTTCGATATCCTCAGTCTTCAGTGACGTGCAAATTTTTGTTTTTATTGAAGAAAGGATTGGTCAATAGCCTCCGAACCCTGCTGCCAACTGAGGCAAATAGGACCATAATTTTCAAACTCTCCTTAAAAATCCCCTAATTTAGTAGCCATTATAAAGAGGGATTGATCTTCGTTTTGCAGGCTTTTCTTTGCAAATTGAGTGAAAAGTGAAGTTACAGGGTGGTTGCCTTGTGGCTGGTCTTTTTTAAAAGTGTGTATATTTGATTACTGTGCCTCATATATACCCATCATAATGTTAAACTTCATAGTAATTGAAGCTATTTTGTGAAATTCCGCAAAATACGATACAATTTTTTTTTAAGTCACTGCCGTTCCCTTTTGTTTGTTGTTTTTTTTTTGGGGGGGGGGGGGGTGTTTGGTGGCCTGAAAGCCAGAAAGGGAAATGCCATCGTATTAAGACCTCTCCAAAATTTCAATCCTGATTGGCCTTGCACCTGATCTTCAATGCATTGAATCATAAGTGAAAGAGAGTGGCATTTGTTGAGTAGTCAAAATATTAAAACTGCAGTTTCTTCTTTTTGGAAGGAATATCTGATCAAATATTTTATATCTTGGTTGGAAATTGATTTTTGATGAGACTTTTAAAAAATGATTTAATTTATGATTTATGCACTGTGGATCCTCTTTGTGAGAGAAGGAAAGCCCAAAAGCAGAAGTTGAGGGGTTCACGTTTAGTGTTGGCATTTGCAAACACACGTTTCTGCCGGACCAGTATAAATGGTACATTGATGGTTTTTGAAAGGTCTTCCAAGGTTTATTGAACATTGTTTTCCTGTCTACAGTGTCTGTCTTATAAGATTATATAAAATAGGCCACTGACATTTATGGTAAAGAGCATTCGCATTTCTATTTAAGCCCGCCCTCAGTTTGTGACATCTGTAAAATTGCGCTCAGTGTGGTCCCGGTAATTTGGTGTTGAAGCATTGATTTTGATCTGGCTAGGCAGTTTCCTGGCTGCTTGCAATGTATTACATGTGCAGATAGATAATGTAATGGAATTGGCAAAGCCGCATCTTATTTTACTTGATTATTTACATAGTTATCATTATTGTTTTAATTATTTTGCAATCTTATTTATTATTTATTGTTTTCATTACCATAACCTTTTTATTTTCATTATTATTATTATACTAGATACTATTGTTATCATATGATATTACTATTGTTTTTATGGTTTTAGATAAGTTCCTTTTTTCCATTTCTATTTATTATATATAATTAAGTTCATATTTTTCTTTTCTTTTTTTTTTAAAGGAATTTCTGTTATTTTAAATTTTTAAATGTTTCTCTTTAAAGCTAAGGAAAAAGTCTCGGTACTTTGATTTGATTTTGTATTTGTTGCAATACATTCTCAGTGATCTTCACAATACGTCAGCTGATGTCTGTCTGTTTTGGGGTTTTTTTTTTAAGTGAGAGTTCAATCTCATGTTTAATTCTCTTAAGAAATAATGTGTGCAATCTGTGAAATTACAATTACTGAAGCAAAAGATGTGCAAATAGTATAATCTGCAATGAAAATCCAGAAAGAGGATTGCTTTGGGATTGGGTGGGGTTGAGTAAAAAAAATTTTTACGTTAGCTCTCACCTTGTACTGCATATCTGGGAGTGTATTGCATCGTATTTAAAAGGATTTATCATTTTAAAATTTAGTTATATTTATTTATTTCAGTGAGTCTCGTTTTAAATCATTTTGATTTTTTAAAGAATAAAGGTTATTGACGAATTAATCTTAATTTTTGCAATATTTTTTTCTTCTTTTTTTTTAAATGTTGCTTATTCGTTTTTTGGTAATTTGATTTCTTGTGCTTATTCAAGTTAAATTTTGTCTGAGACTATTTATTATATTTGTTAAACATGATCCATATCATACTATGTTTTCTCTTATATTTATAATTATTGTTTACATTTTTCATTATTTATTATCACTTTTTAGGTGTCTGGAGAGTCTAAAATACTTTCCGGTAAGACCCAATTATTATTTATATTTACTGTTCATTATTTATCGTTACTTACTTCTTTATTAACCTACGTATTTGTTTGTATTTCTGTCATTGTTCTTAGTAATCAACATACTCTCGTAATCTATGTAGTTTGGTCTGAGACTAAATCTGATTTGGATTAGTAGACATAGTATAGCCAGGTCAAGTAATTTTGTAACAAGGGTGGGTAACTGGTGGGTGTCCCATGTTGGTTACCTTCTGTTCTACTCCCTTGTGGGTTTTTCAGCCATAAAAATACTTATTCTGTCTTGCTTTTTCCTGCCTAAATGATTGTTTTCTCCTCTATGTGCTTTTGTTTTCTCAAATTCAAAGCATCCATGTCATTAAAACTCTGTGGTGAGAGGGCTAGTTGGAGGCTGTGGACTTCTCAGACTTACATGTAGCAGTGTATTGTCCTGTTCCTGGTACTATTACTCATGCTACCTCTTGGCATAAAAGATGTAATTTGACATCTTTTCTAAAACTGCTTTTGGTCTGTGTATCTTTTAAAAAGTGTGGTTTTGTGTTGTTATATTGTTTGGAATTTGTTCACAAAGGTTCATATAGTGTGATGGGTGGTTGAAGGGCCTCATTCAAGTCATTGTCTACTTCTTTGCTATTTCCCTGTTTTGTCTATCTATCCATTTTGCTTTTTCCCTAATGATAAAAGCCATTATATCAAAATGCTTCTCTTTTAGTTCAGAGTCAAAGAATCAGTTAATACTTTTAACAAATATCAGTTCCGGTCTAGTGAACTGTGTTTTGTCTAAGAGACTTGGATGTTTACTCTGTAGGAGCTCAAAGCTCTTTTATATCTCTGGGGTTATGGTTTAAGAACATGTATCCTTTACTGTCTTTGAACCAATAAGAACTGACATTCATGGGTCTTCAGTGAAAGCTTTTTAGTTTAAAAGTGATGAAATAATTATTTGCTCCACTGACTGAAAATTCTTAACATTGCGTTCTCTATGGACTATAACTATTGCATGCTATTGATTTAGGACCCTGACAGGTCCACTTGTTCAAATTTCTAAAAAATTGTTTGTTACATCCTTACTTGTCTTTTCAATTGATTGTTATATATGGTACTGTAGTTTCTGCTTGATGGTAGCATAGACAGTGATGTAGTTTCTTGAGATAAATTTGAACTGTAACAGTAGTGAGTAGTACTGAAATGAATTGTAAAGTAGTTGTTGAAAGGGGGCAGGGGTGAAGGGAACAGCATAAAATTTTCAGTGTCTATAAGATAAGTTACAGTACTGCAGTTAATGATTTACTTTAATGCACTGGTGTAATTTTAACGGATGAATTAGAAGTGCACACCAGTTAGCAGAAAAATGTATTTAAGTTCAGATATAAGATTTTTTTTTTTTTACCGCTAGCCTGAAGAGATTGTTTTTTTGACTGGATCCCTTCAAAGATTTTTAGTTTTTTTTGGGGGGTAGCTTTAATTTATTTCTATCGGGCATTTCCCATGAGTAATGTATTCATTTTTTGCTGGATTCCAGTGGTGCAAGTCTCTAACATAATTGGCCTGGAGAGGACCATCGGTGGCCTGTGGCGTCTGGGAGCCGTGAATGTGGACTGCTTCCCTATCGTCAGCTACGAGAACTTCGCCCGTAGCATCAAGGTCGGGGATCATCTCACCAAGCCCAACACAGGAAGCCTGGCCAAGGATGGGCTCTACTGGCTTGAATTTGAAATCGGATATTCAGGTCAGTTTATTTTTTATGTGCCTATCAGCTGTTTACACAGTTCTGCGTAATGCGTTCTGAGTAAATTCAAGAACAAAGATTGGAACTGCCTTTTTCTTTTTTGAAACAAGAGGAGTTTGTCTTGAGAAATTGAGAGAAAATGAATTTAAGCGTTCATTCCAATGTGATTTCTTGGTATATGTTGAGGATGGTGATACCTTCGAATGTGTGGTGTGAGAGTAAGTTTAAACTATTGTGAACTCTTTGAGGTAAGAGTAATAGCAATGTTAGCTATAATGTAGTTATGACCATCGCCTGCTGCACTTTGGGCTGGATATAAGGCTCCGCGTGAGGCATAATTTTTTAGGTGTTTGGGATCTGGGGTAGCTCTCTTCTAAGTATAGTGTTACAAGAAAACCTGCAGATGAAAATGAATGAAACTTGGTTACCAATCAGAGCATAGGCTAAACTTACTACATGCGAGCGACCGATGCTGACAGATTTCTAGAACCAAAGAAAGTGCCTTGTTTATGAAATTTGCTTCTGTTTTTTTTTTGGGGGGGGGGGTTTAATTTAGAGGAGCCGCACATTTCCCCTTTATTGCTGTAAAATTTCAGGTCCCGCTATACACTTTACGACCTACTTAAAATTATCAACCATAGCGGTTTTGTTTGGGTTTTTTTGTTATAAGTGTTTTACGGCGCTTGCAACTGCATAAGGTCGTAGGAGCGCGCGGGACACATTAACTTTTTCAATTGGTAAGAAATTTTGAATTTTGCCCGGGTTGCGGCCGAAGTCTACTTTGATCAAATTTGGACCGTCAAGGGATCTTTAACGTGTGCCGTTGGCACTCGGGACCTCCGTCCAAGAAGGCTAGGTGTAGATCTTTCCTACCGGAAGATCAGGGGTGTGGCTGAAAGACAGCAGTAAAAAGGAGCCAAGGAGTACCAGTAGAAAGGCTGCAGAAAGAGTCAGGAGCCCACTGGAGGGGAGAAAGTGGAGACCAAAGCAGAGACGACAGTATACTGCAGGAAAGAAGATGAAAGGAGATAATTTTTAGAGAAGAAAAATTTTCCGTCGTTACCCGGATTCGAACCTGGGACCTTTGAATGAGAGGTGAACACCTTAATCTCTGGGCGATGAGAGCCCCCACCAATTAACGATAAAAGACTTGATGGGTCACAAACTGAACAAGCTTGCCTGCCAGCATAAAAAGTTGCGTGATCGTTTGGCGGCATGTGAAAGTTGTAGAGGGGGTGATTGTAGAACAGCACTGATTCTTTCTGTAACAGATAGAGTAAATTCAACTAATTTCTGCCCAGTGTGTTCAAAATTAGACCGAAGTAGTTTTAAGCAAAGATGCGTTGAAAACTTACGAAGTTTTGTAATGCCTGGCAAGGGTGTGGCCCCTTATTGCAAGCAGTTCAAGCGATGCTACGCAGATCAGCAACAAATTTTCACTTCACTCGAATGTTAGTCTTTAAGATCCAAAGAAGAATCTAGTAATAAAGACATGGAGAAACTGATGGCCAAACTAGATTCTGCTCTAAATTTCTCAGACAGATGCCAAGTAAAAAAAGTTTCATATACTCCAGTTCATTACTACTGACTTTTGAACAGTTTCCTCCACTCTAACTAAATACATCAGGAAACGTCCCACTTTTGGGGGGAAATTGTCCTTTGTCTACAAAGGTCCCCCAAAATTTCGCAACAGACAATCCTATTAATTTTACAAATGAATTTTTAAATTTGATAAACAACAGTTCTTAAAATTTGCTCCTCTTTCATTTAAGCTTGTTTTAAAGCTATTTGGATAATTTCATTTTTCTTTGTCAGTGTCATTGCTCTGATCGAGAGTAACATTGACTTTACTCTAATGTGGCCTCTCCTTGAGAGTAACATCGACCTCTATGAGACCTCTTAATGTGTGTCTTCCAGGTAAAACAACAGACGACCTGATTGCCATCTGGAGGCGGGAGGCAGAGGCTGTACTTACGGCGAGGCACAAGGAGGGCACCTCCATTGAGCTGTACAAGAGCGTTGCACAAAGAAAAGTAAGATTTGACACCATCATTATTTGTTTCTGTCTTGTTCTGTTTGAACTTGCCTGTATTTTTTGTTGTCATTTTAGGGCCATATTAGAGACAAGTTGGACTTTTGAGCTTAAGTTTCTCTACTGTCTTTGGGTGGGTGCCCCGGTGTGGTTTGCTCTTTCTTTCCTATCAAACATCTGTCCTACTGATCTCTCCTTTTTTGTGACTCTTAATCTCTAGTAAAACCTCTTATCTTCGACAGGGCTACTGACTGGTGTTTTGGGGCCATTCCCAAAGGGGGGATATTAACATGTTCTTGTGGATGGTTGGCGGGTGCTGTGGTGTGGTTTGCTTCTTCTTTCCTATCAAACATCTATCGTCCTTATCTCCCCTCCTTCTTTTTTATGTTTGTAACACCTCTAATCTTCTGGTGCTCATATGAATGACCTTATGCAGTTGCAAGTGCCGTAAAACCTCTACTAAGACTAAACTAACATGTTCTTGTGCACTAGAATTGTAAATGGGCTGATTCATTAATGTCATGCTCATGACTGTGCCTCAACTGCATACGGGGAACTACTGCTTTTTCTTTCTTAATCCTTACTATCGTCATTTTCCTTCAACTTTTTTTGTATGTTTGTCTCTCTCTTGTGACCTACTATTTCCGGGGTGCCTTGATTGTCAAAGCAGACTTTGTGCTGTTGAAGCTAGAGAGATGAGAAGAGTAAGTCTGATTCCCCTCTGGTGTGGTTTGCTTCTTCTTTCCTATCAGACATCTATCATCCTTATCTCTCCTCCTTCTTTTTTATGTTTGTTACTCTCTTGTAACCCCTCTAATCTTCTGGCGCTCATATAACCTTATGCAGCTGCAAGCGCCATAAAACCTCTACTTTAAAAAAAACTTGTTCTGCATAGTTAGGTCATTGAAGTGAGGATAGCATCGTGAAGTGTGAATGCTTTTTTTTTTTCCTTCGTGTGTAAAGCTTAGCTCTGTGAAATTATTCCTTTATTTATGATCGACTTTTTAAAAATTGTTTATTGGTTGTTGTTTTTTTAACTTCTGTTCTCAGTTTTGTGAATGTGTGGCTTTATTTTCACTCTCCCTCTGCTGTTTCTGTCTGTCTTTCTTGGGCTTCCTGTGGGAAAAGGTCGTAATATCGTGTCTCTAGGCTTTTCTTTGCACGCCCTGAACGTGGTATACCTCTAAATGAGTGTGCTTAATCTTTGCGCTGCCCCGTTTCCCTCGGCCAGGTCCACGCGTTCATCAATGCTGCTGACCCCGAACAGGTGGACCTCCTGTCCCTGCAGCTGCCCATCATGGTGGAGAACGGGGCCGAGGTTCAGATCACCTGCAAGGCCGTGCAGTTCCTGGAGGACTACTGTACCCGCATCACCAGCGAATCCATCTGAGGGGGGAGGAGGGGCAAATGTGGTGGTGGTGGTGATGACAGAGGTGGAGAAGAAAGATGTCTTCTCGCTTATGTACAAGTTGAGAAAGCATCGGTCAGTGCTACCGCCGCCCTCCCACCCACCATCACAAATATTATACCAATGTGTTGTTGTAACGAGACTTTTTATTTACTTTTTATCGGAGATACAAAGCTGATGATGAGACTGGCCTTTCCGATGTGAGCGAGAGAAGAAGAAATAAGAATGATGGTGATACAATGTCAGTTATGTGTTCATGAGTCTGCACATTTTTTTACTCGACATGGGTAGGTTCAGATTTTGCATGATCACTGGTGCTGCTAAGGTTGTTGTTGTTTTTTCTGTGCGTACGTACATAGTCTCTGCAATTCTCCCAGATGGATAGAAATTGTTTGTAGGACTTACGAGGTTCATTGCTATGTAACAGTTGTTTTACTCTTTGTGGGGGGAGCTGTTACTGGTGTTACTTTTTTGTGTGTGTGTCAGGCGATATCGTTACTCCATCACGGGTCCAGATAATCTCATTTTAGACCAAAAGATGTTCTTAAAGCAAAAATAAGAAAAGACAAGACCCTTTTTTGGTCCATTTTTATGCTAAAAAATACAAAGGTTTGCTAAATGGCGCCTGTGTGCACAGTTAAAAGGGCTTGGGTGTGGAAGGCAGATAAAAGTAGGAAGACTGATAATCCACAGCTCTGTGCTCACTCTGACTGGTTGTGCCCGAGGGTGAAAATCAAAGTTAGATTATGTGAAAATCCTTGATGCTGATAGCTGATAGACAACTCAGAAGTTGCATATTTGAAAATCTGAATGAAATGTCATTATTGTATGATTTCAGCATTAGAGATGAAGAAACAGTTGGCATGGGTTTGTTGTTTTTTTATGGTGCATTTTGAAATGGTCCAGTGTGTTTCAATTTTGATATTAATCAAAATGTGAACTGACTGCCTTGTTGATAAAATTGAAAAGAATCTATTTAATTCCTTATAAAGGGATAAGTGATCACTTACTGACTATATTTGAGAACATTATGTTAAGGATAGGCATTATAATGTGACAATAGTGCGTTCTGATGTAGTGAAAGGATTGTTCTGTCAGGATCTTTCTGGTTTTCAGGTGTTAGATTTTTCTTGTCCCAGCAATTTTTCTCTGTAACTTAAAGGAAGTTGTTTATTTTTTATGACAATTGTAATTGTATAGCTTTTTGTATTAGCTTTTTTTTTCTTTTGGTACTTTTTCCCCCTCTGCATTTGGATCTGAAATGTCTCCGAGAGGGTTCTATTTGTTGCATTAAAAAATTCAGTTCTTCATTTGTATGATATTCATCGCGTACAAAGTAAAATTGTTGCATTAAAGACATTTTATATAAACGCTGAGCTTGTCTCTTCAATTTTTGTCCGTTTGTCAGTTCGGTTTCTTGAGGGTGCTTGGTTTTCTTTTTCTGTTATTTTAAAAATCTTTTTTCCTCCCACTGTTGTTTTGTTGTGCTTTTCTTTTCTCTGACAGTGATTGGCGGGTGCTCTGGTGTGGTTTGCTCCTTGTTTCCTGTCAAGACATCTATTGTCCCATTATAGCCTCCTTTTTTGTGTTTGTTACTCTCTGGTAACACCTCTAATCTTTGGCACTTAAATGACCTTGTGTTGCTCGTGCCGTAAAACTCTTACTTAAACTAAAACTAAAACAATGGACGTGTGATTACAGTGGGCCCCTGTTGTAACAGGAAATGCAGGACTGATGTGATAACCTCGTTATAACCGGACCCTGTTATAGTCTGGGATCAGTTTTAGTTTACATACACTGCAACTGAGGACAAAATGTGCTGATGTGCTAGACCAAGGCCACACTGCCTCTGACTGGATTACCAACACCAAAGTGCTCCCAGCTTTCCCACTCCCTCCTTTGTTGTGCACACGGTATGACACATCATTGATGTGTACACAATCAACTTAGGTCTGCTGTGGGTCGTGTAGGTGCAATGGACCATCATTGTTGGCTGTTTTGCTTCTTTTCCTTTCTTCTACTCTTGTCCATTTTAAAATTGTGTCCATGTTTGGACCACTGTAACTGTACCTCTTGTCCGAATGCCTGTTTATAAAATATCTATTTTCTTACATGTATACATTTATTTTAAGAGACCACAGAATGGATGGTTTGCAGGTGCATTTTGTGATTGTTACTCTCTTGTGTAACACTTCTAATCTTTCTGAGTGGTTTGCAGGTGCTCTGGTGTGGTTTTTTCTTTCATTCCTATCAAATGCAATGTACCTCTCGCCCTTGTCTCCCCATCTCATGGGTGGTTTGTGGGTGAAGGTACTGGAGATTTATTAATTAGAGCGTTATAGCGAGATCCTGTTGTTTACGAAACCTCTGATGTCGGTTGTTTATTATTTGCATTCTCCCCTCTCGACTACACAAAGGGACACAACACTGCGAGTGCATGATGAATTGGTTTATTTTCTAGTTACTCCCCTTGATAAAAAGCCGGCTTCGATCGGTGTTTGAGTTATAAACAGTACATAAATAGCGTACCAGTTGCCCTGCCATTTCT